GGCTGGGTGACTTTCGGCCAATCACCAGGAGATTGTGAGTTCTAGTCCCGCCTTAGGCATGACAGCCAATTGGGTGACTTTCGGCCAATCTCTAGGAGACTTGTGAATTCTAGTCTCACTTTAGGCAGGAAGGCGGACTGGATGACTTTGAGTTAATCACCAGGAGATAGTGAGTTCTAGTCCTAACTTAGGTCTGAAAACTGATTGGGTGACTTTTTGCCCAATCACCAGAAGATGGTGAGTTCTAATCTCACCTTAGGCTGAAACTGGCTGGGTGACTTTGGACCAATCATCATCTCTCCGCCCAGCCCAGCCTGCTTCACGGGGTTGTTGTTGTGGAGAAAATAGGAGGAGGAAGGAGATGCCATCTTAAGTTACTCATAAAAATAATAAAGGTGAGATAAAAATCAGATGATTAGAATTAGAATAGAATAGAATAGAAGAGTTGGAAGGGACCTTGGAGATCATCTAGTCCAACCCCCTGCTCAAGCAGGAGACCCTACACCATTTCTGATAGATGACCCAACCCTTTGTTGGGTTGGGTCCCGAGGCATTTCGTCTCCCACCACTTCCTCTGTGACATAGAATGGCCGGATATAGGTAGTCCTCGACTTAACGACCACAATTGAGACCAACTACACTACACTAAACTACAGGTAGTTCTCAACGTACAACAGTTCATTTAGTGACCGTTCAAAGTTATAACGGCACTGAAAAAAGTGACTCAGGACCGTTTTTCACACTTACGACCGTTGCAACATCCCCATGGTCACGTGATCAAAATTCAGACGCCTGGCAGCTGACTCGTATTTATGACGGTTGAAGTGTCCCAAGGTCATTCTTTTATGACCTTCGGACGAGTAAAGTCAATGGGGAAAGCCCAATTCACTTAACAACCGTGTTGCTGATTTAAGAACTGCAGGGATTCCCTTGACAGTGAGGAAAGTCGCAAAACAGGCCAAAACTTCTCACCTAGCAACCTAAATTTTGGGCTCCATTCAGTGATTGCATGATATCTGTAGATGCTATGCACTAAATAAATAAGTAAAGAGCTAAAATGGTTAGCAGCAGATGCCTAGGTTAGGCCCAGTTTTGGTTGCGGACTAACTACCTTTTAGCGCGATAGGCATCAAATAAAGTTAACGAATAAATAAATCTATCTATATACTCAATCTATATACATATATAAAAGCGACATGCCACTCACGCATCATCACAAAATCTCCAGAACCATAAAGCCTACGAACTTGAAACTTGGCACATATGTTTCTCTTGGCTTCTAGGTGCTCACTAAGAAAGGATTTTTTGAAATGACCATCAGAGCATTAGTATTTTGTATATTATTATCATTATTAACACACTCTGATGCTAAGGAGTTCTACTCCCCACCTGAAAAGAAATCTGGTCCAAATGCAAAACACAAGCAGACGAGATGAGTTTCAGTTTTAGTTTCCTAGCACCAAGCAGCTTTAATACAGAACAGTTGAGCTAAGCCACGCCCAGGCTTCTTGCTATCTCCTTCTTGCTCACACAGGAAATACTCTTTCGCTTTCCAAACAGCCCTCAACTCTCTCACACACTGACAGGACGCTAGCCAGATGAATCCCGATGAATGCTGATAGGCAGAGGCAGAATTTTTTCTCCTTATTTCCCTCCCCAAAAACTAACCTCGACCACATAGTTTCATAGTGAAGCATGGGTATCGAGCTAGTAGTAAATAAATTAGGAACACCGTGGCTGGGAACAGCAGAGCCAAGCGGAAGCGGAGAGAAGGAAGAGAATGCAAGAAGGAAAAAAAGCTTTTTCCCCCCCCCATGGCTCTTGAACAGCTGGGAAAGCAGAGGGTGGGGGAATTCAGGGCAGCCCACGTGCCATTTCTTCCTGGGTTTTAAGAATAGTGTAATCCTGCCTTTGCAAGGAATGTGTGTGTGTGTGTTTGTGTATTTGTGTGTGTGTCTGTCTGTCTGTGAGAGGGTTCTTTCCCACCCACTTCCTGGCCATGTTCCCACAAAGCTCAAAGTGGCATTTGAACAGCACGATGTATTTAGTTCTTTTGAAATCATGTGTGTATGTGTGTGTGTGTGTGTGTGTTTGTGTTGTGGTAGCATAGCTTGATGTGCAAACCCAGCCCCATTGGTTAGTTTCTGGCTTAACGCAAACCCTGAAAATTTACTTTACTCAGTAACAAGGAAGGCATTTGCTATGAATCATCAGCCTGCAAGTGACTTAAAGCTGAGACAGGGATTATTGTGTTTAAACTATTTATCTGGGCTTTTTTAAAAGTTTTTTTTTTTTTTTGCTTTGCCATCAGAATTTTGTGCAAATCCAGGGCATTGTGTTTCAGCAAGTAAACCCCAGGTAACAAACTATGGCTTGATGCAATACATGAATGCAGGGATATGTGCTAAACTTACTGTCCTTAGCCGTCATGGAATTCACAGATTAACAGAGTTGGAAGGGACCTTTTAAGTCATCTAGTCCAACCCCACCCGCTCAAGCAGGAGACCTTATACCATTTCTGACAGATGGCAGTCCAGTCTCTTCTTAAAAGATCTTGACTATGTATCTGAATGGTCAAACAAATGGCAACTTCAAATCTCAACAAATAAATGCTCTGTCTTACATATTGGCAAAAAAAATCAGAAAATAAAATACAAGCTGAATAGTCAAGATCTTGTTGATGACCCAAGCTCTGTAAAGGACCTTGGAATACTCACCTCTAATGATCTAAGTGCTAGAGCCCACTGCAACTACATAGCCAAAAAGGCATTAAGAGTTGTTAACCTAATCCTACGTA